GTGGCCAGGGAGTGCAGTGGAGGATGGCCCAAGTGCTTGGGCCCTGCACCCCATGGGAGACCAGGAGAAGCACCTGGCTCCTGGCTTTGGATCAGCGCGGTGCGCCGGCCGCAGTGGTCATTGGAGGGTGAACCAACAGCAAAGGAAGACCTTTCTCTCTGTCTCTCTCTCTCACTGTCCACCCTGCCTGTCAATAAATAAATAAATAAATAAATAAAGTGATGGGACCAGTGCTGTGGTGTAGTGGGTAAAGCCGCCACCTGCACTGCCGGCATCCCTTATGGTGGCCAGTTCATGTCCCAGCTGCTCCACTTCTGATCCAGCTCTCTGCTATGACTTGGGAAAGCAGAAGAAGATGGCCCAAATCCTTGGGCTCCTGCACCTGCATGGGAGACCCAGGAGAAACTCCTGGCTCCTGGCTTCAAATCAGCTCAGCTCTGGCCATTGCAGCTATCTCGGGAGTGAACCAGCGGATGGAAGACCTCTCCCTCTCTCTCTCTCTCTCTCTCTCACTCTCTGTCTCTGCCTCTCTGTAGCTCTGCCTTTCAAATAAATAAGTCTTTAAAAAAATAAAATGGGAAATGGGAAACTACTTTTCCTACTAAGACTTGTATAATCTAATTTTAGATTATGTAGCTATATAGCTAAAAAGAAAAATCCACTTTTTTATTTTTTTTAAAAAAAAGGACTTCCCCACAGAGCAGTGGACATCACCTGCAGAATACAGAGCACATCCTTAACTCTGATGTTCACAGAGCTCCATCCACTGGGAGAGGTCTGTGCTGCAGCCTGCACTGTGCCCTTTTTCCCCTGCCTTGCATTAGTTATTCTAAACTTATCATGGGCTCTGTTATAAAACATTGCTGATCCGGGGCCGGTGCTGCGGCTTAGTGAGCTATGCATCCACCCGTGTGGCACCGGCATCCCATATGGGCACAGGTTCATATCCTGGCTGCTCCTCTTCCAATCCAGCTCTCTGCTAAGGCCTGGGAAAACAGTAGAAGATGGCCCAAGGTCGTGGGCTCCTGCATCCATGTGGGAGACCCAGAAGAAGCTCCAGGCTCCTGGCTTCAGACAGGCCCAGCTCCAGCTGTTGAAGCCATTTGGGGAGTGAACCAGTAGATGGAAGACCTCTCTCTCTCTCTCTCTCTCTCTCTCTCTCTCTTTCTCTCTCTAACTCTACCTCTCAAGTAAACAAATACTAAAAAAAAAAAAAATACTGCTGATCAACCACTTGGTCATTTATCCCAATTCTAAAAATAAATGACTCCTCCAGAGCTCATGGCTTATTGTGAAAACAAATTATCTACCCCACCCTTAGCATGCCAGGTAGGATGGAGAATTTTAAATGAGGCCTTTTGATGGTTTTTGTCCCCACCTGGTAACTGAATGCCAATCTGATTGTTAAGTTTTTTTTTTTCCTTCAAAATTGTACTTAAGCCAACTGCCACCAGTCCCCTTTGGATTTTCTTCTCTTGCAAGCCCTTCTCCAAGGGGCTTTTAGATTTTAAAAAAAAAAAAAAAACTTTTAGATTAAAAAAAAATTTTTTGAATGACTCCCGTACTGATTAAATGCCATTATCTCTACAAATTATATAGGTTCAGGTTGATGACATATTAATAACAAAAAGAATAAAACTTCACTTCCTCATACATGAATGTTTGCATATAATATACTTTCAGTTCTGCATCTTTTAAGATACAAATACAGAACTACTACTGTTTTTTATCATTTAAAAAATCATTTATTTCTACTGGGCTGACATGTGGTACAGTGAGTTAAGCTGCCACTTGCAATACCAGCATCCCATATGGGCACCAGTTCAAATGCCAGCCTGCTCCACTTCCAATCCAGTTCCCTGTTAATGTGCTTGGGAAGACAGTGGAAGATGGGCCACGTACTTGTGCTCCTGCACCCACGTGGAAGACCAGGATATTGGTTTCAGCAGGGCTAACCCTGACTGCTGCAGTCATTTGGACAGTGAACCAGTGAATGGAAGATCTCTCTCTTTCTCTCTCTCTCTCTCTCTCTCTCTCTCTCTCCCTCTCCCTCTCCCTCTCCCTCTGCCTCTATCTGTTATTTTTCCCTTCAAATAATATGTCTTTTAAAACTCATTTATTTCTAAACCTATAGTTTTAAAAATAGATGTATCCTTAAGTATGGAATATTGAGAGAAAGTGAATCCTTCTTAAATAAACTTTTTAAAAAATGCTCAGGTTTGTGCACTTCAATGACACTAGCTAAAAGCATAAAAGAAAAATCTCAAGATTTTTAACTATTGCCTGAAATATCCTTAAAAGAATAACTAAAGCCCTTTTTTTATTTATCCAGTATAGCACACAGCCAAATGAAATGTTAGCCCTAATAATGTCTGAGAGGGTGGCACTGTACCTGTTAAGAAATTCAAGCATCTGTGACTGGATTTTAAAGATTAATGTAAGCCCCCCCCCCCAAAAAAAAGTGCTAAAAATGTTCTCTCCAAAAGGTGAGTGTGGAAAGGACCTCTTCTCTACTCCAGTTCATAGTCACAAATCGGGACCATGGCACATCAGTTCGAAGAGGCCCCATTCTCATCCGGCTGAGTTTCACAGAGGAGAAAGCTCATGCTTTGAGAAGGCCAGTCAGTGTCTTGCACAGGCCACAAGCTGAAGAGGGGAAACCTCAAACCCAGATGCACCTGCTTCTGGCTAGGTTCTTTCCCATTGTGTGGACTCACTTTCTACCAAACAAAACAGCTACAATAAAACCACACTTTGAGCAGTTAGTATGTGTCTGGGACATGCTGGCCGCAGTCTGTGGGTTTAACCCTCGTTTAACCTCCGTTTAAGCCTCCAGGCACCCCCAAAAGATGAGGTTGCTGCCACTAGCCAGTGACTGGCCGAGCTTGTATCCTGCGCTTCTGTTTAACACAAGGACTGCCTCCGCCAAGAAATGCACTTTATGTGTTTATCAAACATCTCCCTAAGGAGTTTTGTTATCAGCTTTCTCTCCTGAGTAAGGAACTTGGGAGGGGGAGGTGGTGTTGGAGAAACTTAGGGGAGAAACTATTTGTTTCTCATTTCTGAAGATCTGCCACCTGTAACACGCGCATCTCAGCAGGGAGATATTTCACTGCTGAATTCAAACTTGGGAGGGGAAAAAGGGGGGCGAGGAGACTTGAGAACATCTACAAGGCTTTGGGGATTTAAAAACAAAAACAACAAAAAAAAGAATCCGCAGCAGGATGCGACCCAAGTCCTCTTTAGCCGGGCGCACCAACCCCCAGGCCCACAGGGTCAGTGCCCTCTGACCCCAGCCACCGCTGTATGGCTGAGGGGCCCAGTGGCTGCCACTGCCGCCCTTGGGACCTACAGCGCGGTGTTCACAAACGAAGAGCCCGCTGAAGGGGAGACACACCCCCAGCCCCAGTCAGCACTGGAACGTCTCCACTTTCTAGCCCCCAGCCCGTGAAAGAGGCGAGCTTGAAGGCAGCAGGTTCGGGTACCGAGGGCTGGAGGAGGCTACGGTTACCCGAGGACTGAGAAACAGATGGCACAGTCCGCAGCCGGCGCGCACAGACGCCCTTTTGCGTAATCAGAAAAGCCGGCGCCCCGCCCGCTCAGCTGGCAGGGATTGGGCGCAGACAGCCTAGAGTTCGAACTCTCCAACCTTGGCCACACATCCCCACTGTCAACACCTCTTACTTCTTCGCTCCACAGGGTGCGTTCACTAGAGTCGCAGGTGGCCAAATTGGGAAGAGGGATAGCTGCAGCCCCACCCTCGATGGTTTCTCTGCCCACTTCACCTGTCCTGCTTCTAGCCTCAGGTAGTGCTGTCCCCCAGAGCCGCGCCCAGGTGCCCAACCCTGCCAAGCAGTGGACAAGCGCTTTGCCTGCTCAGCTCTGCTCCTGGCACCAGGGGTCGCTGGGAGTTCTGCCAGGGCTACACCTCGGACATCCCAGGCGTGTGCGCACCGAGAGGAAGCCGAGGTGGGATTCCATGCGCACCGCGCACCCAGCCCAGATCCCAGGAGGAGGACACTGCGCCGCAGCCCGCCCGCCAGCCCAGTCTACCCTCCAGACAAACCGGCTGCACCGGGGGCTGCCGCGATTCTGCGTCCGCCACCACCCACTCCCTGTAGCCATGGCCACTATCCCCAGCCTTGAGCTCTCTGGACAGTTTTGCTATTATTCCAAACCTCTGGAGACCTGCGGAGAAAACTTGGTGGCAGCAAGGGCGCCAAGGGGAAAAGAGGGTCAGAGTCCACTGCTCCAGGGCGCTGTCCTGCCAAGCCTAGCCCCGGGCGCTTTGGAGACGGAGACGCCAAACGCGCCAGGGAGGTGAGGGGCCGGGACAACTGAGCGTCGCCTGAGTCCAGACATAGCAGGGCTTTTCGGTGGAAACCACAGAAGCTCGTTTATAAGGGACTGGAGGGACCATGCAGGGAATGAGAAGGGTGATACAATGAGCCTTTAAAAGAAACCTGAGGTCTGTGGAAGGCGCAGCCAGGCAAACCGGGGCACCCGACCTAGCCGAGCCGCGGCGCGCGGCTGCAAGAGCGTCCGCCGACGCCTCGGCTCTAAGAGGGGCGCACGCCAGGAGAAAAATAGGGCGACAAGTTCTGTCCTCCGTAGGCTGCAGACCCCGGACGGCGCAGAGCGCCGAGAGTGCGCCCCCACCGGCCAGCCAAAGGGGAAAGACGAAGGGAAAAAACACCCAGGTGGTTCGACAGCACCTGTCAGACCTGCGCTTGCCGGGGCGGCGGGCTCGGACGCCTCCTCCCCAAGCCCCTTACACTTCCCGGGCACCCTAAGCATACACCCCTCCGCTGCGCTGAGCGATCCGCAGAGGTCCTTGCAGCCAGAAAGCGCACGCCTGAACCCATCCCCGCGCGCTCCCTCCCCGAATCCTCGGTTCCAAAGAGGGCAATGGGGTCCGCAGAGGAGTGGACCGGTGCGTGAGGAGAGCCACGGAGAGCAGCTGGGTTAGGACCAAGGGCCCGGGACGCGCTCCCGCTCACCTCGCTCACTCGCCTGGATGTAACGCACGATGTCGTCCAGATCCAGATCTTTGGTCTCGTCGAAATTGTAGGCGGACGTGTGCAAGCCCTCCTCCTGGAAGACCTCGTGGACCCCCTCGAGGGTGAAGTAGCAGTTCCGCTCCAGCTTGTCGTCGCTGTAGACCAGCGCGGCGCGGCTCCAGTGGTGGTGGCGGAACAGGGCTAGCATCATCTCGCCCATCTTGGCGTAGGCGGGTGCCACGCGCGTGAGATGCGAGTACTCAGAGTCCTTATGCTGGAAGCCGGCGGCCAGCGCCCCGGCAGACAGCATGGGCAGGTCCCAGTGCGACGCTAGCCGGGCCACCGGCGCCGCGGCGTACTCGCACACCGGCCCCAGGATGAGGTCGGGCTTGGCGCCCCGCGCCGCCGCCACGCGGTCCACCAGGGTGAAGAGCGCGCGGTTGCCGCAGTCCGAGTCCTCGTAGGCCACCTGGAAGCGAGTGCCGGGCGGCAGAAGCCGCCTGCCGGTGCCGTTGCCCTCCACGCTGCGCAGCGCATACTCGATGGCCGGCCGCACCCGGGCCAGCGAGAACAAGTACGAGTCGTCCCGGGGCAACAGCACCAGCACCTCGATCTTCTGCGGCGGGAGCGCCTCTCGCTCCCGGCGCCCGCCGCCGGGGCCCGCGCCCCCGCCACCGCCACCCGCGCCGCCGGCCAGCGACGCCCAGCCAAGCAGGGCGCACGCGGAGAAAGTGAGCACCAGCAGGGACGGCATCGTGCGGCCAGAAAGCGCTGGCCCTCGGCGCCGACTCGCCCTCGGCCCCCCACCCACCTCCCTCTTTCCTCCCCACTCTTCTCTCCGAGGTCCCTGCGCCCCCTTGGGCGCTCCAAGGAAACAGAATACCCCTTCCCTAACGCGCCCGAAGAGAGAGCGGAAGAGTCCTCCGCAATGTTACTAGTTTTTCGCAAAAAAGAAAAAGTTCACCAAGTGTAAACCTGTGCGTCTGTAATATACACATCGACTTATTATAAATATATATATATATTCGCCCTCCCTTGATACATATACTATTTTGCTTAGAGGTAGCTTCTTATTTGGGCGTTGCTAAGGTTGCTTTTTGAGGAAAAAAAAAAAAGTTAGACTTGTCCAAGTGCTTGTAATTGACGGTGCATCTCCCTCGCGTTTGATCTCATTGATTCGCGCCGGTTCCTGGATGCCCAGCCTGCGTTTAAATAGCGTGGCAGCAGCGGCGCGCGTTACCACACATGGCGCGCCCGGGCTGGGCTTGTGTTTCCAGCGGGTGGGGTGGGCGCGGGTGTGGGAGGTGGAGGCTGGGCCGGGGGAGCCTCTCATTAGCATTCCTACATCAGGGCTCCTCCCCGCACCCCTTCCCCGCCCGGCGCTCCCGGGTCCTGACACCCACTCCTTGCTGGCCCGCTGCCTTTTCCTTCAAGACGCAGCCACCCAAGTCTGCATCCGCGGAGAGCTCCCGCAGCGCAGCGCACGCCTGCGGGCCCGGCCCGCCTCTGCCCGACCACGCTCCCTCCGGCTCCAGGGTTTATGAAAAGGAAATGTGTTTGAAAAGTAAGGCAATGCTCGCGAGCTCTCTCTCTCTCTCTCTCTCACACACACACACACACACACCGCCCCCTCAAAAAACCAACAGGATGGGGGGGGGGCGGACGAGGTGGCCCTAGCAATGGGTAGTTTCGGTGCAAAGATCCGGGGGTCCCGCTGGCTCTCACCTTTTCCTTGCGCCCGCCGCGGTCCCTCCTGACGCGCCAACTCCTGGCCGGCACCTGACCTCCCCGGTGCCCGGCGCAAGGACAGGGGACAAGAACCAAGGTCCCGGTGCAGACGGCTTGATTGCAAACCTGGGGTGCCGAGCCGGCCCGCGCGTCCCCCGCGCCCCCGCCGGCCCCCGGCCCCTCTCTCTGAGCCGCGCGGGTTCGCGGCGGAGTCGCAGCGGCGCCGGGGTCAAGGCGTGCCCGCGCGCACAGTCCCCGCCGGTTCGCTGAGAGCCTGAAAGAGAAACTTGTTGCTCCCGAAGGTGAGAGAACGGTTCGGCAAAGCTTGAAACGCATCTCCCGGGCGTCCTCCGGGGCCATGTTTGCTACACCAGGTAACTGGACCAAGCGACCCGGGAGGGTCCCCGGCTAGGGATGCGCGCTCCCCTCCAGCCCGAGCGCGCAGAGCTCCCAAAGCTTCGCCTCCTCGGTGCTCGAGGCACTGCGCTCGGGGATCTGCGGTGCCAAGAAAGCTCCTGCCTCAGAGACCCGAGTCCCCCCACCGGCCGCGGGGACGACAGCAGAGCAGGCGGGCTGCGGAAGCGCTGTGGGGAGGTCCACCGCCCAGGGAAGCCGCGGCGGGGCGGGACGCAGCGGGTCTGGACCCAAGTGGCGTATGGTGGGACCCAAGAGGCGCTGGGGCCGGGGAATGCCGCCGCCGAAGGCTCACAAGTTAAAAGAAGTTGAAAATGTTTTTAAAACGGCCTTTGGCTGGCCTGGGCGTCGGTGTCGACCCTTTTCGATTCGTCTTAGACCGACGCCCTCTTTCGGCAGAAACTTGCACCCGACGCCTAACCATGGTGCTACCGCCTCCCCCCCTACTCCCCCGGGCGCCGCGTTTCTTTGGCCAAGGCCCTGAAACACGCTGGCGCTCCTCCACCGCGACAGCGAAGAGGCCATCGGAGGTGTCCGGCCATGTGGCAACTGCTGGCCTCAGCGGCCGCCGCCCTCCACCGCCTTCCCCTGTCTGGCACCGCTAGCGCTGTTAGGGGAGACGCTTTCTCCTCGGAGTCTCTCAGATTGCACATTATGCACTGTGGTCCCAAAATCTTCACAGTGGAGAAGCCGTGAGAATGTTCATTTGTTTAATTCAAGCTGCTTTTAAAAATTTTTACAAAAGACGCATCTACATAAAATCTCATTCCCCAAGTGGGGAAAGCCACCTGTAGTAAAAACTGGAATTTCGCACTCCACAGCAACTCAATCCATCCTGGACTCCTCGGAGGGGCAGGCGGTTATATCAGAGTTTTGGTTTTTGGTTTTTTGGTTTTTTGGTTTTGTTTTGTTTTGTTTTGTTTTTGGAAGTGGGGGAGAAAGAGAGAGGAGAGAGAGAACAGAACAACAGCTAAACTCCGAATTCCAAGGGTCTTAGTGGATTTCGAAATGGGTTGCCAGGAGACACGAGGGAACCGAGGTTTCCTATTACTCCCCTATGCCCTGGTCTGAAACACCAGCCAATGGCGATTTGATTCTGCAGTGTGTGATGTGGGCTTACTCAGAGAGTCTGGGGTTTCAGTGGCACTGGGCATGAATGCCTCGCCCATCACCCTCGCCCTTGGGTCACCCGCAGGGCAGCACGATTACCTTGGGGTGAGCACGGTGGCCTCTCCGTGGTCTTTAAATAGGAGCTCTCGCCCGCCAGCCTGTCACCAGAGAGCATCAGGAGCAAGCTGTGGAGGGGAACACACACACACACACACACACAGGAGGAGGGAAACCTGTGCTACTGCACTTGCTGATGCTCAAAACGTACCCCTGGCCATTCCTAGGAGCAAGGGTTGGGGTTGTGGTATAGCGGGTCAAGCCACCCATTGCCGTTGTGGTATCCCATGTCCTGGTCTGAATTCAAGTCCCAACTGCTCTGCTTCCAATCCAGTTTCTGGCTAATGTGGCCTAGAATTCAGCAGAAGCAGTTGGGGCCCTGTCACCCATGTGGGAGACCAGGATGGAATTTCTGACTTAGGCCTGGCCCAGACATGGCTGTTGAAGCCATATGGAGAGTAAACTAGTGAATGGAAGATCTCTTTCTCTCTCTCTCTCTCCCCCCCTTTCAAATAAATAAATTTTTTAAGAGACATTCGTTTTTAAAAATATACCACCTATGATGCCATGTGAAAGAGGGTGGGGGCGATGAAGCTATCACCTGCTTTAAGTAGTAACACCCTTTATATCAAAACTTTATTTCATATAGCTAACTTTTGAGGTTGCTCAGTACAGTAAAACCAAAAGTAACATCACTTTTTTTATAGAAAGCTTTTATTTAATAAATATAAATTTCATAGGTACAACTATTTGGATTATAGTGGTGTAACATCACTTTTTAAAAGAATTTTTGCAGTACTTTAATCAGAAAAATGAACCAAACAACAAAGAAGGGGAAATAAAAACAATTCATTCCTCAGGTCCAAAAACTACCTTTTACTGTTCATCTGTTGGATAAAAACAAAGGAAAAGCATGTAGAAATGCCATAAAATAGAACAAAATTAACCGTTTGAAAGTCTTTGGGCAATGTTAGCCCTAAACGTGGTGCTATAGAAACTAATAGACTTTCTGTAGGATTTAGAAATATTTTCATGAGTAGCCACAAACCATGATTTGTTTTTAGCTATAACCTACTAAAGTAAGATGGCAAGTTTTCTTTAATGTATTCAACTGTTAGCTTTCCAGCTCTATGAAATGAAACTTAATGTCCAGAAGTTACTCCTCTACTATCAGGGAAGACAGCATTACACAGCGAACCAAATGTGAGATTCTCTAATGCACTAGAAATGTTCTCAGAAGGAGGTTTTCTCCACTAAGGTTTAAACAGCATCTCTCACCCTTCTCCCTCGGAACCCTGGCAGCAAGTGCCACAGTAAGAGCCCAGGCCGATACTGGATGGGCCTCATCTCACTTTCCTGGCCAGCTCCGGAGTGACAGTAAAGAATACCCCAGCAAGTCTGCTGCTCGCAAGAGAATGCCTTCTGGGGACAGAATTGTTGAAAACACACTTCCCCCTAGAGGCAGAAAAGATGAAAGAACGTTCCACATAAGTCAAGTGCATTTCTGTAATTTAATGTGTTGGGATTTCATTTTTAGCATATAGTTGATGTTTTAGAGGAAACCATTCCAGATGTAGAAAAAAGTCTATAGATGCCAAAAAAAATAAATTAAAACTTTGCCTCTGGGTTTTAGTTTGCTTTGCAAGGGTTCTGTTAACTGACCCCTTTTCTCCTACATACTATACAAGTCTCTGATTCTCTTTGCTAGCACTCCAAACAATAATAATCTCACATGTTTCTTTATTTAAATTTATATGATTTCATCAGAAATGTAAGCTTGAGATTCTTCTGAAAATGCAGAGTTGTTGCTGTATAATCATTTACCTTGATCTTTTTTTCATGTCTTTGAAGGTGATCCGAGACATAGTGACACTAGAAACACTTCTGAAAAAGACATCTGTGATTTCACTGTGACACTGGCATGAGGCTTGCAAGCTACATGAAGAATTCCTTTATCACTGACGGATAGGCCAATTATTTAACAGAGTATTGCATTTATAAGAATAAGTGCATTAACTGTTGAAATCTTTACTTGATATATACTAAATTGATCTTCTGTATATAAAGAGAATTGAAAATTAATCTTGATGTGAATGGAATGGGAGAGGGAGCAGGAGATGGGAGGGTTGCGGATGGGAGGGAAGTTATGGGGGGAAAAGCCACTGTAATCCAAAAGCTGTACTTTGGAAATTTATACTTATTAAATAAAAGTTAACAAAAAGAATAAGTGCATTGCCTCAACTTCATGCCTACCAATACTGATTACATTGAATTGGTTTCTTTAGTTGTGCATTGCATTCTTCCAGAAATGGATATAAGAAGGCTCATAAAAATACAAAATGGAATTTTAGAAAATTTTCCTCCTGACAACATATAGTCACTGAATCCTCCTCTCCTGGTCTGTACTTTATTCTATGAGCTGTTAGCAATGGCTCCAAGGCTCAGAAATTTTCTGCTTTCCCATCTGAGTTTCCGTAGCATTCCTTGAGTTCATGATCACACTAAACTTTATTTCCATTCACAAGGAGGTGTGCCTGAATTGGGATCCAGTCTCCAGGGTGGCATAATGCAGAGAGAGCACGCATTTAGAAGCCTCACAGGGGCTGGCGCTGTGGCGCAGCGGGTTAATGCCCTGGCCTGAAGCGCTGGCATCCCATATGGGCGCTAGTTCCAGTCCCGGCTGCTCCTCTTCCATTCCAGGTCTCTGCTGTGGCCTGGGAAAGCAGTGGAAGATGGTCCAAGTGCT